AAAGCATGGATATTGGACTTCAATTTTGGAATTTTTTAACTTTTTTCGCCCGTAAATAAAAATTGCTGAAATGTTTACCATGGTCACTAATACGCTTCGGGAGTCCAATGGGGTGGGTGGAACCATCCGATTTGCATTTAAACGACCAATTTACAGATTTACAACCTGCACCGATCATTAACTCAAGCTTACCACGAACATTTATGACAACATATAATAATCATATATGGTTCCAAATTTCATTATATGACCCCGAGATGTATTCTCAAGGTTTTTCGCACCGTACCCAACCTAAAATATTTCTCAAAAAGCGTAGATATAAGCCTTCAATTTGGAATTTTTTGACATTTTTTCGCCCGGAAAAATAATTGCCGAAATTTTTACCATGGTCCCTAATACCCTATGGGAGTCCAATTGTGTGGGTGTATACATCCAATTTTCCTTTAAACGGCAAATTTACCGGTTTAAAACTTGCACCGATGTCATTAAATCAAGCCTTCCACAAACATTTATGACAACATATAAATGATCATAAATGGTTCCAAACGGTATTATATGACCCCGAGATGTATCCCCTAAAATCTCAATATTTTTCGATATCGGGCCTCAAAACCTCCGAAATTTCTCAAAAAGCATGGATTTAGCCTTCAATTTTGGAATTTTTTGACTTTTTTCGCTCAAAAATAAAAATTTCCGAAATGTTTACCATGGTCCCTAATATCCTCCGGGAGTCCAATTGGGTGGGTGGAATCATCCAATTTGCCTTTAAACGACCAATTTACCGGTTTACAACTTGAACCGATTTCATTAACTCAAGCCTACCACTAATATCTATGAGAACATATAATGATCATATATATGGTTCCAAACGGAATTATATGACCCCCACATGTATTCCCTAAATTCTCAAGACTTTGCGACCTTGGGCCCCAAAACCTCCAAAATTTCTCAAAAAGCGTGGACATTAGCCTTCAATTTAGAAATTATGGACTTTTTTCGCCAGAAAATAAAAATTGCGAAAATGTTTACCATGGTCACTAATACCCTCCGGTAGTCCAATTGGTTGGGTGGAACCATCTAATTTGCCTTTAAACGGCCAATTTACCGGTTTACAACTTGCACCGATTTCATTAACTCAAGCCTACCACGAACATTTATGACTACAAATAGTGATCATATATAGTTCCAAATGACATTATATGACCCCAAGATGTATTCCCTAGAATCTCAAGGCTTTTCGATATCGGGCCCCAAAACCTCCAAAATTTCTAAAACAGCGTGGATATTAGCCTTTAATTTTGGAATTTTAAACTTTTTTTCGCCCGGAAATAATAATTGCTAAAATGTTTACCATGGTCCCTAATACCCTTCGGGAGTCCAATTGGGTGGGTGGAACCATCCAATTTGCTTTAAAACGGCTTATTTACCCGATTTATATATAACTTACACTAATTTCATTAACTCAAGCCTACCATGAACATTTATGACAACAAATAATGATCATATATGGTTCCAAACGGCATTAAATGACCTCGAGATGTATCCCCTAGCTAGAATTTCAAGACTTTTCGACACCTAGCCCCGAATTTTCCTAAATTTCTCAAAAAGCGTGGATATTATTAGCCTTCAATTTTAAAATTTTTGACTTTTTTTTGCTCAGAAATAAAAATTGCTGAAATGTTTACCATGGTCCCTAATACCGCTCGAGAGTCCCATTGGGTGGGTGGAACCATCCAATTTTCCTTTAAACACTCAATTTACCGATTTACAACTTGCACCGATTTCATTAACTCAAGCCTACCACATACATTTATGGCAACAAATAATGATCATATATTATTCCAAACAACATTACATGATCCCGAGACGTATTTTCTAAAATTTCAAGACTTTTCGACACCGGGCCCCGAAACCTCCAAAATTTCTCAAAAAACGTGGATATTAGTCTTCAATTTTGGAATTTTTTTACTTTTTTACGCCCGGAAATAAAAATTGCCGAAATGTTTACCATGGTCCCTAATACCCTCCAGGAGTCCAATTGGGTTGGTGGAACCATCTAATTTGCCTTTAAACGACCAATTTAATTACCGGTTTACAACATGCACGGATTTCATTAACTCAAGCCTACTACAAACATTTATGACAACATATAATGATCATATATGGTTCCAAACGACATTATATGACCCCGAGATGTATCCCCTAAAATATTAATATTTTTCTACACCGGGCCCCGAAACCTCCAAAATTTCTCAAAAAGTGGGATATTAGCCTTCAATTTTGGAATTTTTTGATTTTTTTTTCAACCGGAAATAAAAATTGCTGAAATGTTTACCATGGTTCATAATATCGTCCGGCAGTCCAATGGGATGGGGAGAATCATCCAATTTGTCTTTAAACGACCAATTTATCGATTTACAACCTGACCCGAATTCAACCCCACCCGTTCCTAACCCGACCCAAATTCACTATTAGAAATAGGCTAAATTCCAACGGAAAAATTCCGTCGGAAACACCTTGAAATCCGTCGGAAATAGGGTTTCCGTCGGAAGAGGTTGTCGGAAAAGTAGTTGTAGGAAAAATGAACTTTTTCGATGAAAATTCCGTCGGAAACACTATTCTGACGGAATTTTTCGCCGGAAAAATATTTTCAGGTACTGCAATAATACGTCGGAAAATTCCGACGGATTCAATTCCGTCGGAAATTTCCGACGGAATTTCTGTCTGAAATTGCTTTTCTGAAATTTAAAAAAAAACACCGCGCCACCACGGCACGGCGTATCACCACCTCTTACCACCAAAAAACCCAACATCTCAACCCCTAACTCGTAATGGAATTCCAGAACCACCCCACCACCCACAACCACCAGCTCTACCACCCCACCCACAAACCCCAAATCTACCACCCCACCCACAACCACCAAATCTACCACCCAACCCGAACTTCAACAGCCCACCCAAACCCTAAACCCGACTTCAACAGCCCACCCAAACCAAACCCCCCAACCTAAGCAAACCACCCACCGTAGCCCCTATCCCACCATTAAACACCACCATCGGCACCACCGACACCAAAAACACCCACAGCCCACACCCACACCACCGACAGCAAAAACACCAACAGCCCACACCCACACCACCGCCACCGACACCCACCCTAGCCCCTTCCCACCTTTTATCACCACCACACCAAAAATAAACCCCAAAAAACAAAAACTTAGCAAAAAAAAACTGAAAATAACCCTAATAATCGAAAATTAACCCAAAAATACGAAAAATTGAGACAAAAAAAATCGAAAAACACCACACAAATAAATCAAAACCAATAGATCTACATATTTAGCAAGAATTTCATAAATAAAATTAAAAAAAAAAACGTTAATTAAACCACAAAATTAAAGGAAATATATAATAATACAATCATTTGATAAAATTTATAAATTAACATTACAATTTCATAAAAAATTAACTAGATCTATGCGCATGTACGTGGTTGCCGTTCTTGTTTTGGTCGCCGTTCTTGTTGTGGTCTTCGGTGCTGTTGTAGTCGTCTTCGTTGTTGTTGCTTGGTCTTTATAGTATTGTTGTTGGTGGTGGTGGTACGGGGTGAAAGAGGAGATGAAAGGAGGAGGGATGAGAGAGAATGAGAGGAAAGAGAAGACGAGAGAAGGGTGGACGGAGGGGATATGGAGAGAGAAAGAGAAGAAAGGAAAGGAGGAGGATTAAGGAGAGAGAAAGAAGAGGAAAGAGAAGTGAAGGAGAAAAAAAAAGGGGCGGCTAGAAGAAAGGATTAGGGTTAGAGGTTAAATACTCCGAAAAAAAAATTCCTTTTTTTTTATAGTATATATTCCGACGGATTTTTCCGTCGGAAATTTCCGACGGAATATTGTTCTGTCGGAAATTACCTTCTCCGACGGAATATTTCGACGGAATATTCCGTCGGAATGTCCAATTATTCCGACGGATTTATTTTCCGTCGGAAATTTCCGACGGATTTTTTTTATTTCGTCAGAATTGTCCGACGGAAATTAAATCCGTTGGAAATATCAATTTTTCCGACGGTTTTTCAGGTCCGTCGTTATTTGACCTGATTCTTGTAGTGTTTAACCCAACCTGTTACAAACCCGACCCGAAATCAACCTGACTTGTTATTAACCTGACCCAAATTCAACCCGATTTGTTATTGACCCGACGAATTTTACCATACCTATTACTTACCCAACCCAAAAATTCAACCCGATTGGTTACTAACCCGACTCGAAATTAACACGACTTGTTATTGACCTGACCTAAATTCAACCCAAATTGTTCCTGACCTGATTTCAAATCACCTTAAATGCAATATAGACCACCTTATTATTGTTGATCAAAGCATTTTGTCTTGGGAGACCAAGTCAGTCCAGGCCTGCAAAAGAAAGGAGTATCATCCTCAAATTTAAGAGACCAAGTCAGTCCGACCCACTCTTACCCTACCCAAACCCGACCCGTTTACCCGAATTGGCAGCTCTAGCCATGACTAACTAATCATTTAATTTGGTTTAGTCACGCATAGCTACATTGTCTTTACTTGCCTTAAATATGCAGTTACACTTTATATTCATCCAAGCATTTCTTGAAGACTCTAAATGAAGCTACTCATTTAAGATTCCTCAAGACCTTCCTTCAAAAGAAACGAACTCTCTCCACTTAGCATGGTTAGTGTTGAAATATATCCTACCATGTAACACATATAAGTGTCACACATTGAGAAAAGAAGAGAGAGTTAAACACTAGAGGTTACTCCTCTTATCACCGTATATATGATTTTGGGATCGAACCTCGTTTGGTTTTATGAAGTGGACTCCCTCTTGATTTGTGATGAGACTGGGATGGCGGTAAAATATCCTGATACTTATTACTAATTAATGTCGAGCTTGCTTCTTTTACATTATACTGTTGATTGAGATTTAATTCACCATTTTTTACCTATTTATAATTTGGTCATAAATTCTCTTAAAGAATGAAGAAATAAAAACTTGAGCATAATTTACATTATCAAATATTGGAAGGTTGACAAACAGTACATACATTGCCAAAGAACAGCCTTTATGCTAATGGGAATCATAATAACAGGTGATAGCGAACACAAATGAAATACGAAAATGACGTTAATATATAGTCACTCTTATTCACAAGTATCATATCATGGCCAAGATGCCTCCTTATAAGCCTACCCTTATTTTGGGATGCCCAACAGTTTCTTCAAGTCCTTCTGCAAAAAGAAGATTAAACGGTTATTATCAGCAATCTAATACGCCACCCCTGTTGTTTTCTTTGTACCATAACAAGTCGAGCTTAATTTTTACCTCAATGCTCTTTGGGGAAGTAAATGGTGAGTAACGGTCAACAACGACACCATCTCTATCAACAAGAAACTTAGTAAAGTTCCACTTGATTCCATCTCCCAAAAACCCGCTTTTGTTTGATTTTAAGTACTTAAAGATTGGGGCAGCATTACTACCATTCACTTCAATCTGTGTGAAAAAAAAAAAAAAAAAAAAAAAAAAAAAAACAAGGCAAAATGTTTAGGAAAATTTATGAAAGCTACAAGGCCATTTCTTTTGAGTCTTTTGATCGAATACTTTTGCTTCTTAGAAGGTTTCACATTCTATCCAGATCACACTTCACAACTTTATGAAGTTGCTAAAACCAGCTTATCTAACATATGAACAAATGGAGTATTATGGTGATTTGTAAATGATTGAACAAAACACCTTGTCAAAAATGGGGAATTCGGCTTTGAATTTTGTGCATGCTAACTCCACGATCTCCTCATTAGTTCCTGGCTCTTGGTTATGAAACTGGTTACATGGAAATGCCAAGATTTCCAAACCTGCAGCAATTTAGCACAATTATAACTCCAACCTTCCATATAACAACTAACAAAAAGGAAAGGAAGAACAAGAAGCTACCTAGGCCCTTGTACTTATCATACAATTGAGTCAGCTCTGTGTAGTTTGTATTGGAAAGACCACTGCATCGAAAAGAGAAAGTCAGCTGAGTTAAGCACAAATGGTAATGGCAATTTCCTTCGATTCAAAGCTCCAACAGAGCAACTGGAGTCTCGTAAACAAAGGTACAACTATGTCAATTCCATGCTCCCACGCTTTATAAACCATGGCTTCATACTTCTAATCCTAGTAGTTTATCCCTCCATACAAATATTAGCCCCACAATCCCACATTCATAAGTTTGGTGTGTGATTGGTATTTTGTCACATTAAGAAATATTGATCACTGTAAGATTTGAAAGTTCAATTGCAATCACATATCCAAGCACGGCACCCTGTTCCAGAGAGTTGCATTCAGCCTATGCACAACATGTGCCGCAACTGCTGACTGTGATAGACACATCAACACATGCATTCTCAAAGCAGGCATGACAATTGAAGTTGTTCTTTGGAGCTATAGGGGTGAAAGGTGAATGCTCAGTGGACCTTTAATGTGCATCAAATTATCTCTCGACGTTAATAGTTAAGGGTTGACATAAATTCCACAACATAATTTGGTCCATCAAGTATATAGCCTTAATACGAAAGATAGAACTTATCAGATAATATGGCAGTGTACCATATTATCGTGTCTAAGTAATTAAGACTAATTTTAAAAGCCTAAGTTGTAAAAGCCACGGATAACTAAGGGTCTGTTCACATTCACTGAACTGATTGGAGCTGAACTGAACTGATTGGAGCTGAACTGAACTGATTGGAGCTGAACTGAACTGAATTGAGCTGAAATGAATATTTTATGAGAGAGGGAAATTAAGAGCTGAACTGAACTGAACTGATTGGAGCTGAGCTGAACTGAACTGAGCTGAACTGATTGGAGCTGAACTGAACTGAAATTAAGTAAATGTGAACAGGCCCTAAATCATTAAAATTCACAAAAGAAATGTATTAAAGTGACAGTACAAGCCATATCATACCATAGTGATGCAACGTTGAGAATCAACAGCACCTTCCCTTTGTAAATGCTGAGATCAACATCGTTTCCACTTGCATCCTGCATATGACCAATTGATGTCAAACTAGGAAGTCCAAAACTTCATAGGACGTTTTGCAAATTACCTTCATTTCCCTTTTAAAAAGGGATGGGAAACCACTATACATTCTGCAATGTAACAACAGCCGTGTCTCTTAATCAGCAATGTCATCCTACAGTTTTTGCTAAGTAACCTTATTAATGACATTAGTTAATCTTTAGCACAAAGACTTTATATTACCCCCATAACTCATTGGATATAACCTTATTAATGACATTAGCTAATCATGGTCAAAACAACAGAAAATTATGTTACTCGAATTCTTCATTTCCGACTAAACTACTGTGATCATAGCCTCACATAGAAACTTAAACTACATTAACATCTATTAACACCGCGAACAAAGCCAAATCTGATTCCTCTATCCTCTAATATCCGTTCCTTACCGCCCGAGAAATGAAAATGAGAATCAGATAGAACTCCAATAAGGCAATCACAATAGTAAAACTCAATGGCAAATGCAATGAGCTAACTCATTCTTGAACTAATTACCCCCAAGATACTGTGGTCTAAACTTGCAGCATGTTAACTATATAAAACAGTATTTAATACCACATGATTTAGTTTAGTTTTCCAGCAACAAACCCCTCTTCTCAAATTAACACTAATACCATCAAGTTTCAAACTTGTAAAATTGTTCAGCCTAGAAATGATACTTAATTGTTAAATATTAAATTTTGCAAAAAAAAATACAGCAACACCAAATCCCCATGTTCAATTATATAAAACCCTTTTCTCAATTATACATTTAATAATTCAATAATTTCACCAATATACCTTTCATCAATATATCAATTCAACAACCATGAAATTCAGAACAGAAAACCAACATTGTAAAAATTCAACTAAAAGTAATTAGAGCAAAATTGGGAATTTTGAGAATTTAATTCAAAAAAATACAATTAAAGCTGAAGATAGGAAAAATTTCAAAAAAAAAAAAATTATAACTAACCTTGACAACAAATTCGTGGACTGATCTAGGTTGAGAAGAGTCAGCTGCCATTGATTTGTGTGACCTAGAACTTTGAGAACAGGGGATTAACTAAATACCCAGAATACAAATTATCCAAATTTAATGAAAGATATCAAATGAATTGGCTTTGAAATTGAAGAAAATTGATTATATGAAAGATTTTTAACCAAAGAATTGGAAATGTACAGAATAAGGTATGGATGGTATTTATAGTGTAATCTGTAATAAATTGAAGGAAACCATATAAAGTATGGAGGGAAATCAAGTTACTAATTGCGGCAAATATGAACAGGGTGTAAATTGGAGCAATCGAATAAGAAAAGTCAACATGAAATTGAATAAGAACAATGAAAAATGTGGTAGATATGAAAGCAAAGGAGTATACGTATGGAAGTTTTATTTTTTTTTGTTGGCATAATCATCATGTTATTGCTATGCAAGTATTATATACACCTGGGTGTACCGAACATTTAATTGTATTTTGTTCATAAAATCAATCAATAACTATATATACTCTAAAAGACACACCGCATGTCAATTTCTGGTGTCTCTTTAGTAATTTTTTTAAAAAAAAAATATTTAATAGAAAATTTATTTAAGGAAATTATTTGTAAAATTTAATTACTATATAAATAGAAATGATATTTACCTTCTTTCTATATTCACATTCAATTTACTAATTAATATGGAAAATAGAATAGCAAAATATAATCTTTGTAAATATTTTTAAAAAATACAATCTTCTACTATAAGTTTTTATGTGGCAAACATAATATCCGTTTCAAGGATACAATTGAGATAGACAAAAGTTAATGACTAAAAACGAGATATATACATTATATGATTACTGATAAGTATATACATACATAATTTTTTTTGTCAATAATTGTGCATGGCACAGGCCTAACCTAGTTATATTAAAAATTAAAACATTTAGATGCATCTACTTTTATGTACACACGGTTATATATAAAAGGTTCTCGCTACTAGAATTAAAAAGTTCGACTCACTTTTTGTATTTTAAGTAATTTATAAATTTAACCTAATTTTTTAATTAGTCCGATTTGACAAATTCCTTCTATCTATCTTAGCCTACCTTTTACTATTTACAAAATTTATACAAAAACAAATATAAGTACATTACGAATTGAAGTACATAATTCGAACTTTTGGTAATGAGGGAGATACGTATACAAATAAATTTAAATTAGTGTCAATTTACATTATTTTAATTGTACTAATGATCAATCCAGTAAGCTCAGTAGAGTTGGTGGAAAACCCACCTCCAACGAACTATACATATGTTTAGAAGCAAGGGGATTCTCTTATCCTCCCCCTCTTCTCTCAAATGTATAGTCTTCTTCTTGCTTTTTTAATTTTTGTTAGATTTTTATTTTACTTAATTAAGAGTACAAACTAGCTACCTACTTTAATTTCATATTAACCAAAATCAAGTAGCTGCCGTGCAAAATTCATGATAATTAATGATATAAATAAGACCAGTGCGTTTCTAGTGCGGCTGGCCGCACCATGTGGCAGGGTGCCAAATCAGCAAATAACAAAGTAACCCCAAGACAAAAGTAACCCCTGACTGACTTAGTAACCCTTGACCAAATAACCCTTAGTAACCCCTAAGCCCTAACCGACCTAGTAACCCCCGACCTAGTAACCCCAATTAAACCCCTAACCAACCTAGTAACCCCTGACCGCCGACCTAATAACCCCTGACCGGACCACCTAGTAACCCTTGACCGGATCTAGTAACCCCTTACCCATCACCAACAAAAAACTACCACCAACAACCACCACCAATGAGCCACTACCAACCTAAACTATCAATGAACCACTACCAACCTAAACCACCAACGAAACTAAATCTAGAACCCAAAACCACCAAATTAAACCACCACTACCCACCTGCACTCACGAAATCACCACTATCCACGAAAACAATTTGTTCTTCGTTCTTCAATTAAACAAAAAATTAGGCGATAAAATTGAACAACTTACAAGTTATATAATCAAAATCTTCAGCAAATAAGCTTGAATTCAACATAAATTTCGTAGAAAATAAATTTCCAATAGTAAACCATTAATGAAGTTTGAAGAAATTTGGGCTAAGAAGACGACACCATTAATGAAGAGGTCGAGAGTCGCCGGAAAGTATGAACGTCGGCAAGGTATTGATGTAGGTAATGGTGATGGAAAAAGAAAAGAGAAAAGAGAAGAAGAATTAAAAAATATATATGGCTGGCCGCACCGTACGGCCAGCAGTATATGAAACTTTGTGAAACAAGACATGCATCGATTCATGTGTGTTCTATTGCTTAATCTCACATTTAAGCTATATGTAATTTTCTCATCCTCAATGTTGTTTAAAAGTTATTTATCCTCTACAAAATTAGCACCAATAATATAAATATTAATTGTAAATTAGTAGGGTTTTCTAATGTTTTCTTTATATGAGGAATTAGTTGTTAAAAAAATAATTGTATTATTTAATTTTCAATCAAAGATGCAGATATAATATACTACGTATTTAAGAGTCGCTAATAAAAATGATATCATCCCGTGTCTTATCCTAAATAACAAATTTCAAGACCCAAAACAAAACCTCATCCAATTATTGAGTAAAAAAAAGTCTCAAGAATAAAAATAAATAAAATAAATAAAAAAAAAAAAAAAACAAGGGAAATTTGAAAGCAAAAATGATTGTAAAACATACTATTTTCTCTTGCTGAATTTGTTTTTTAGAGGCATCCTGAAAAATTAACTCTGCCTTTTGATTTCCCACTCAAATTAAAGAAAGATAGTAGATTGGATACCCAATTTGTCAAGCATTTGTCAAGTGAAAAGGATATTTAAATGACATTAGAAGGAAAAGGGGTTAGAATGCAAGATAGATAAATTTGTCATTCTTTTTCCTGTACATCACATTTTGAGTTGTAATAATCCGAATTTATCTTTCTTTGTCTGTTGCACATTTTAAGTTGGCATTAATCCTAATTTATCTTGTGCTTGCTGGATTTTTATTTTTGTTTTGACTTTATTAAAAAAGAATATAAATTTTCAAACCACATTATCTTAGTTTTGAATTTTATCAATAAACAAGTATACACATCTGCTATTTTCTCGCTTTTACTTAACTCTTTTATTTTTGCTATGGAGTACATTTTTTCACAATCTCCCATCAAACCTTTAACCATTAGTATTGTATTAGTATATAATGCACTTTGTATTTAATTACTTATTGAAAAAAAAAAAACATATTCATTGACAAAGAATTAAAGACTAAAGATTGAAATGAGTATATGATGAAAGGATTAACGATTGTGCTAGCTAGTTTGCGATTAACGACAATTAACAACAACTTAGACGGAAAAACAAGTAATAAATGAGACAATGAGAATCACCGTGGAATATCCAAGAACCAAGATAAAAATCCACCAATCGACTTTGAGGAATTACAATGTAGATTACACGCTTTCAAACACCATGAAAACTCCCATCCCAAACTCACCCTCTCAAACACTCAAACCATAAGTGTTTGGATTTTACATTGAGGCTCTTTTCTCTCTTTACATTTTTTTTACTCTTTCATCTAATGCATGATGGCTATGAGCATATATACTCCCGAACATAAATGAATTGAAACATCAACGGCCAATAATATAACGCGTGGCAGAAATCGGGCTACACCAGCACCTTGCTCGGGCGCGCTATGCTTGCCCGGACGCGCGATGCTTCTCTTGCGCGGACAAGCAAAGTCTTCTGACTCCCATCAAAACACGCATTTTTATCCCCTTTTCGCGCGGACGCACACTCATAGCTTGCACAGACACGCAAATCTGGCCGGCTTGACAACACTTTGTAAAAACGGCCATAACTTCCTCAATTCTTGACCAAATCAAGCTTATGACCAGTCGTTGGAAAGCTCTTGAGACGAGCTATCACCTCCAACTTGAATCAACTCAAAATCATCTCTAGATTTTGAAATATCTTCATACGAAGTCAACCCTTTGCCTTCCGCCATTACTTAACACCAAGCAATAGTCCATACCTTAAACTCCTAAACTATGCATAAATGCATAATTATGTCTTGAACCGTTTTCCACACTTTGCCAAACCCAACATATGATTCATGAGAAAGTATTGTATGATTTTACACTCACGGTAAGACAGGTATTAGCTGTTGGACTTTTTTTTCCTTTTTCACGGGAGCTATTGGACATTTTCTATATGGAATAAGTTTTTATAATTTCCTAAGTTATTATTAGACATATCATTATTTAATTTTATGTATCAGATGGGTGAACTTACATAGTTACCATAGAATGGACTCATCCAATATTTTATACTCGGTATGAATGTAATTATGATATTTCATAGATATGTACTCCCTCCGTTTTTTTTATATGCATCACTTGGGAATGCACATAGTCTTAGGAGATAAATATAATATTGTGAGTGAATGAATAAATTATTATAATAAAAGTATGATGGGGACCATGAAAGAGAAAGTATGTGAAATAGAATAGATATTTTATTATTTAAGTGGGGACATAGAAGAGAGAGAAATGATAAAATAATTTGAGTGGGGTTTAAAGTAAGAGAGAGAAATAATAAAATATAGTATAACTTTACCAAATTTAGAAGTGATGCATATAAAAAAAACACCCATAAAAGGAAAGTGATGCATATAAAAAAACTCAATTGCTAAACATCGCCCGCGAATCTCCACATAAAGCCCACAAAATTAGAGTGAATTGTCACTTTTGCCCTCAAAGTAAAAAACACAATTTCTTCTCTCAATTCTCTACTTCCACTTTCTCTCTCTAAAAAACTTTCCGAGCGATGTCGAGGCGGCCCGGCAAGGAAGTGGCGGCACAGGCGGCGGGTGGACAGCGGTTTTCCGGCGAGAAGGTATTTTTTATTAATTTTGTGTTTAAAAATTAAAAAAAAAAAGGTCGGAGGCGGTGGTGGCGCCTAGGCCAGACGCCACCACCACGGCGGCGGCGTCTAGCCCAGACGCCACTACCACGGCGGCGGCGCCTAGGCCAGACGCCGTGACGGTGGCGGTGGCGTCTGGCCCAGGCGCCAGAACCACGGCACCGGCGTCTGGCCTAGGCGCCGCCGCCGTGGTAGTGGCGTCTGGGCTAGACGCCGCCGCCACCGTCACGGCGTCTGGCCTAGGCGCCGCCGCCTTTTTATTTTTTTTTTAAATTTTTTTTTGGTTTTAAATTTGAAATTTAATTTTCGAAAATAATTATTTTTTTTTTGATTTTTTTTTAAATTTGTTTTTCTTTTTTTTAATTTTAAATTTTATGTTTCTGATTTTTTTTTTATTTTGTTTTAAATTTTGTTGGTTTTTTTTAAAAAAATTTTATGTTCCTCTTTTTTTTTTTTAATTTTTAATTTTATGTTCTTGTTTATTGTTCTTGTTTTTTTTTTTTTGAATTAGTTTTTTTACTTAAAAAAAATTTTATGTTCCCTTTTTTTTGTTATAAATTTTTTTTAAAATTTTGATGTTCTTCTTTTTTTAAGTTTTTATAATTTTATATTTTTCACTTTGTTTTTTCCAATTTGTTTTTTTTGGGTAATTTTTTTTTTTGCTTTGTTTTTTCCAATTTTTTATTTATTTATTTATTAGGTTATTAATTTTTTTATTTTTAGGTTGTTAATATTTTGTAATGTTTTTAATTTATTTTCCATCATATGTATATTGTTTTATTTATTTATTTTAATTACTTTTTTTATGTTTATATTACATGTTTATATTGCATATTACATGTTTTGTTATTTTGTGTTAGGCATCGTATTTTCGTTCTGGGGCTGGGAAGAGTATGGACATTATGAGAAGTACGATGAACTCAATGGAGAGCTCGGGGCCCAGACACGTTAGATCCCGTGGTATTTCGGCCTCGGCTCGTAGAGAACGGGTGCACTATTCTGAGGATGATGAAGATGATGATGGTGATGAGGAGGAGGAGGAGGAGGAGGATGCAGATGAGGATGTGGACGATCAGAGTGGACCATATGATGATTACGGTCCATTCAGTCAGAGGCTTGATGATGTGTATGAGACGCGTAGGGTAGACGTGCGTAAGGGTAGAGATGGTAGATTTGTTAGTAGATCTGGCACATCATCTGCGTCCACTGTGTCTGCGGTTAGCAGAAAACGGTCGAGGGCCGTTAATGATTCTTGGGTGGTGAGGGGCGAGGTGGCTGGGGGACCTATAGACGGGAGTGTGATTCCTAGCTTTCTAGGACACATCGCTACCCGTATTTGGGAGGACCAAGAGCGGGCTTTGGATAGCGGCATTTTGAAATGCCAAACCCGGGAGAGGACTTGTAACTTCTTGTGTAGTTGGGCTGAGGCTTGGCCGGAGGAGAGCGAGATGGTCGGCCGATTGAGGGCCACTAGAGTGAGCCACCTTCCTGCCACCATGCATGAGAGGATAGGGCTGCGCTGTACACAGCGGCACTTGGTGTGTGGGATCACGGCGGTGTTAAGATCGCAGCAGTTTTGCAGCGATGTTTGCACCCCACTTCACGTAGGACGCAGGACACACAGCTGGCTGCATATGTTTTTCTTCTTCTCGGGTGTACCTTGTTTCCGGATAAGAGCGGAAACAAGCTCAGGCCACGCGACATAGTTGACGCGTGTGAGCCCGACAGAGTAGGCCAGTTTTCTTGGGGGTCGGCTACATTAGCGTACATGTATCGCCAGTTAGGATTCTCGAGCCGGGCTGATGCGGCAGGTATCACTGGATGTATGACGTTGTTACAGACGTGGATATACGAGTATTTCCCGGCGTTTCGACCACACCGCGACCCGGTTCCTATTGGGGATGGCCAGCCACGTGCCTGTGCGTGGAGTCCGCGTGTCGAGAAGAAGTCCATTGACCGCCTGCGATCGATACGGTTATTGCTTGACAGGATGTCCCCATTAGAGGTAAAGTGTTTAAATTATTTCTACTTTTATAGTTTGATGTGTTTATTGTATGAATCTTACTAATTTTAAAAAATGTGCAGGTGAACTGGATGCCTTTCGGCCAGAACCCTAGTAATAGGGTACCCAGGACCCTCTACACGGGACTGATTCAGTATCGTGAGATCGTAGAGGCGTACATGCCGCAGCGCTGTCTTCGCCAGCTTGGATATGTCCAAGTTGTTCCTCCTCCACCAGCATGGCACCAGTAAGGCCGTCCGATCTGCGTCGTTGAAGGAGTACGTCGTCCAATGGCCGGCAAGCATGATTGGCACGTGGGAGCAGTTTCCGATGGTTGCCCGCATATGGATTGAGCAGTTGCAGCGGCCGCCAACTGGGGTGGCTGCCATGTGTGACCAGCACTACATGGAGTGGTACAACCGGCACTCGCACCCGAGGTTGATCAGAGACGTCCACCACGGCGACGACGCCGATGATGATGATGTGCCACCGCCCACTGCCGTGGATGCGGTACGTCTCATAAAACATTTGTAGTTGTGTTTTTTTTCATATAATACGTCTCATAATACGTCGTTATTGAATTTTATGTGTTTTGTTATGTGTAGTGGATGGGAAAGATGACGCAGTTGGGACACAGACTTTTTGAGGAGAGGGACAACATGACGACTGCAACAGGCAGAGCTGTTATTGATGAACTGGAACGGGCCCTTGAGCAGTGGCAGTGGGCGTCACAGAGAGATTATTGATATGTCGGCAGTGCATTTATAAAACATTTTCCTAGTTGTTTGTAAAAGTTAACATTATCTGTTCTTATAATTATTATTTTAAGTTCTTAGAATTTGACATTATATTTTTAGTTTTTATAACTTTTATTTTAAGTTGTAATTAGTGGGCATACGAAAACAAAATACAGGTTCACATTTAAATGGGAAAACTAAATACGAAAATTAGAATCCGAAAATTAAATAAATGGGAAAAACATAGCAATAGCAATATTAGGTCACATAGAAAAGGCAACTAGATTGTTCCACTGCTGCACCCGGTCATGATATAACGCATCCCAGCCCTCTACGCTTGCTGTACGAATGGTGTACCACGTTGGTATAATCGGTGGGACCGGAAAATCGGGTGACAGGTCCAGTCGGATGAAATGTCTGTATGACGGCCCCAGAAATCCAATAGCAACCTCTCTTACCGGTCTGGTGACGGTCTCACGCGAACACCAAGGCAGAACCGTGGTACACGGATAGTAAGCTCGACCATGCAAACCAAGGCCGAAATGCATCACTGCACACTTGTAGATGTTTGCAACGGCGAAGAGATCAAGGGGCGCGTCGAACCAATGATTTTGACCGCAACGTCCTCCTCCCCACCGGATACGCTGCAGAGACCTATCCAAGTCCTGTCCGTACACGTGGCGATAAACAGCTCGGTTTGAGGCGATTTCACTGTACATCAACTGACGCACTAAACCGTAGTTGTCTTCACCCATCTGAAACACATCAGCCACAACCCGAAATCCACAGTTACCATCTGCAACCACATCATTCCACCCGTCCAGGAACGGCATCATGATGTTAGGGATCCTGTCTTTATATGGAAAATGTTCAATGTCCATTCTGCCTGTTGCACACATCAAAAAACACAATTAACAAGTTAGCAGAAAACTAAACAAACACTCTAAAAAGTAAATTAAACTAAAGTACCGTACCGGTGCCGGGCATATTCACCGACGAAGATGTTTGACTACCACTTGATGACGATGTACGACCACGGCCACGACCACGACCACGACCACGAATGTACTCAAACGCACTCCTTTCCCGCCGTGGTTGTCGGCCCCGTGGTCGCTCGACCCCCTCAGGTTCCTCATGATCCAAGCACGACGAGTTGAACATGTCATGAAGTACGTGGGTAGCACTACGAATGACTGAAGGGTGGCTGGAGGACACTTGGTCAAACATCGAACGAAACTGCTCCAACTCCTCCTGTTCACGGTTGACTGTCTGTGGAACAGCATGCTCTCCGATAACGAGCGTCCGCCAGAATGTATGAACCTGATCAACATGTAACGACGCCCTATCTTGCGTAATTACGCGGTGAATGGTGCATGCACAAGGTAGTCCATGAGTCACCGATATAGCACATCCGCACCGAATAGCCACTTCATCACCCAACTCCCTCATCCTGGTGTGCTCGCTCAGAATCAACCCCAAGCAGTAGTGTGACACACGACCATGGAGAATCTTAAATATGAAATGGCTATACATCGTGCCATGTCGCCGTCTGGAGTCCTCGAGAGAGTTCTTGATGCCGTTCCTCTGAGTATCAATAGCCTTGTTTATTCTCTCGAACAGTGTATCCAGAGCAGAGGTGGAAGAATCAATCCAGTCCTTCAGAGCTCTATGAGCGCTCTCAACTCTACATGTAGTAGTGTTTCCAAAATGAAGAACTTGGTTTGTCCAATATTTGACAAACTTTTCCCTCTGAGGCACCCACTGCTGCATCACATAGTCTACGATTGCCGGGCACCATTGGTATGCATCCTTGAAGTTATCCAAGGCTCGGTCGTACTCTGCCTCCGTGGTAGCTTGCAGGATCTTCCGCCACTTACCATTTACCAATCTCTCTGCTGAATCTAAGTTCTTGTTGAAAAGGTTGTAGGCTTTGACTTTCACGCATTTGTTGATGTGCCATGTGCACAGTAAATGACTCGACTCCGGAAACAGCTCCGCTATAGGGGCAAAGAGACCTCCCTCACAATCGCTGACGATGGCCGATGGCTGAACACTTGGGCCGATGTAATTTCTCAACTTCTCCAACACCCAACGGTAACTCGCAACCGTCTCATCCTTCATAACTGCATAACCAATCAAAAAGTTCTGGTTCGTTGGAGTCATCCCAACCATCTCAACCAGTGGAAACTTATACTTGTTTGTCTTGTACGTTGAATCGATCAGAATCACAGATGGCCAAGACGAAATCATATCAGCACAATCAGGATGCACAAGGAACAAATGAGTCACCTCCGATGTGTCTTCATCAGATTCAAACCAGTACAGGTAACCACGTGCTTGTGCCTGGTGTAGAAGCTGCTGTATAGGGTTCCTTCCCTCTGACCGTTCAAACCTCAATTTATGTCTGACGTTGTAGATGTGTCTTCGGTTTGGCTGGTCTTCAGGAAATTTCTCCAACACAGATGCTAATATTTTAGCAGGCTTCACTTGAGCATCACTCATTTCTTTTACAATTAGTTTCGCAGCAGGACTTAGGCCACTTAACTGTCGATGACCCACTTCATATGCGATCATCTCATGGTTGTGATACCCCCATTTACCGTAACTCTTCACTTCCCAACCGTCACCCCTTTGCTGTTGTCGAACCTTTACTCTGAACTGACACCCACAACCTTTCCGCTTTGTATCAAACCGAATCGCTTGACTGAAATCTCGTTCCTCCCTTTTGCGATAACGGTCGCATCTCAAAATGCGATCCATTCTACCATCCCGTTGAGATTTATGAGTTGCTACTACTAAACAAAAACCTGATCTAATTGCAACCTGTTTCGCCCAATCAACCGCTTGTTGAGCATCTTCGAACAGACCATCGTGTACAAAAATCCCACTATAATCATTTCCGTCTCCACCATAATCCTGCAACAATAACATATAAATATAATCACATAAGAGTAGATTAAATTAATACATTTGACACAACATTAGCACAAAAGCAAAAACAATAATAAATTATAAACAACAAACAAAGAAATAAACAAAAAGTATTCAAAAAAAAAAAAAACAAAACACAAAAATAAAAAACATAAACAAAACTTTAGATTAAATAAATAAAAATAAACCAAAAAAATAAAAACAAAAAAAAAAACATAAAACGAAAAAAATTGTAAAAAAAAAAATAAAAAATAAATAAATTAAAAACAAAAACAAATTAAAACAATTAAAAACAAAACAAAAAAAAACCAAAAAAAAAAGAAAAAAATTGTAACACAAAAAAAAAAAATAAACAAATTTTAAATTAAATTAAAAAAAAAAAAAAAAAAAAAAATAGTCGGTGGCGGTGGCGCCTGGCCAGGCGCCAGAGCCACGGTGGCGGCGTCCTGGCCAGGCGCCAGAGCCACGGTGGCGGCGTCCTGGCTAGGCGCCACCACTACGGTCACGGCGTCCCGGCAGGACGCCAGCCGCCAATTCGTGGTTTTAGATGGCTTCGTACCTCCTTTTCCGGCGTCAACGGCGTCTCTCCGGTGCATCTACCCGACGTTGAGGGCTCTTCGGTTTCACTCGGCGATCCAGTCCTGCTCCACATTTTTTATGAGTGAAAAATTTTATTTTCGGTAAAAATTAAAACAAGGGCAATAATGTCAACATTTTTAAAAAATGTGGGCTTTATGTAGAAAAACGCGGGCGATGTTTAACAAATCCCTAAAAAAAACGGAGGGAGTATAATGTATGGTTGGTGCATCCGGAAAGAACATTAGGTATATTTAAAAGAATATGGGCGAAAAAAAAGAACATTGTAGATATTTATAAAGAACGCAAGCATAATATGTTCTTTAAGTTTGATTATTATGTTCTTTGAGTTTGAAATATATGCTCTTTACATTATACAACATGTTCTTTAATGTATGTATATAAAAAAAAATATCAATCACCCGAGTAACCAGGATCTTTAATGTATTATCATGTTCTTTTTGTAAAGACTTTATGTTCTTTGGCTAGAGGTGATCAAAGTTAGACCGGCACGGCCCAATTTTGGACGGGTTTTGGGCAGAATTTTTTCGCCCTACAAATCGGGTTGGACCCGGCTCGTAAATTTAATTTTTTAATTTGGGCGGGTTTGGGAATGCGTTTTTATACATTTTAGTTGATTTTTTTTACTCGACTCGAAAAGCCTGCATGACCGGACCATTTTGGGCGGGTTTGGGCACAAAAACTTCGGCCCAAAACTTGGCACAACCCGAGAAGTGAGCTAATTTTTTAACCTTGGCCTGACCAGCCTAATAATCACCTCTATCTTTGTCAAACACAAACATGTTCTTTTTGTCAAATATAATGTACTTTTCAAACACGTTCAACCACCCGAGTAATCATGTAAAATAACATGTTCTTTTGTAAAAACTTTAAGTTCTTTGTAATGTCATGTTCTTATCAAACACAAACATGTTCTTTTGTCAAACACATGTATGTTCTTTTTCAAACACTAGCATGTTCTTTAAAATGTCTAATGTTCTTTTCGGGTGCACCATGCCACCATGCACATGGTGCACTATACTATTTTCACTTTTTGTAAAGAAATTTACTTTATACAACATATCGTAAAACTACGTAATAACTTTGACATTTGTCTATTTTTTTTGACATTTGTCTATTAATTTAGATATACTACCTCCGTTACATATTATTTGTAACGATTTCATAAAGGAGAGAGGTTAAAGGTCTAATCGTTGTAAATAATATATAACGGAGGTAGTATATACTTTCTTCATTTCTTTATATTTACAACAAATAATTTTTTTTTGTCTGACATAATATATCCTTTTGTTGTAAATAATTATTTTTTTTTAAAAAAAAAATCCAAGATTATATAACAAGCTGACATTAATTAAAAAAATATAAACCCAAATACTTGCTCCAGTTTTCATTTGCGGCCGTTTTTAAATACTTGCTCTATTTCCTGATTTGAAAGCTTTTACTATATTTAATTCATTTCTCCCAAAGTGGATTCAACATATATCATACTTCGTATTACGTATTTTGTTTACTTCATATTATCTCTCCACTACTTTTAGCTTTTTACAATTTTTTATTCTTCCACATACCCCACTACCTCCATA